AATTTTTTGACATAGGGTCGGCAGATTAGGGGCCTCCTATACCCGCTCCCGGGCCCCCAAATTTTCTCCATGGGCCCCCAGATATACCACCTCCCATGCTGTTTGCCAGGCCCAAGATCTCTCTGGGCCCCCTTGTACGGCCGTCCCATTGCTGCTGTCTCCATCCCGCCACACTTTTCTGCCATGTGCCACTTTCAGGTCACCTCAACACACTGCTGGTGTGTTTGATTTTTTTGACATAGGAGTGCTGGCAGATTACGCGCCATCCCATAGCTGCTGTCCAGGCCCCTAATTTGCCATGGGCCCCTATATACCGAGCCTCCTCCATGGCTGCTGCCAAGTTCCCAGAGTCTGTCATGGGTCCCCTGTAACGGCCTCTCCATTGGCTGCTGTCTCCATCAGCCACACTCTGCCATGTGTGCCACTTTCAGGTCTTCTCTCAACACACTGCTGGTGTGTTGAAATTTTGACATAGGGTGCTGGGCAGATTACAGGGCCTCCCATAGCTGCTGCCAGGCCCCTAAATCTGCCATGGGCCCCTATATAAACCAATACCGCCGTCCTCATGCTGCTGCCAGGTCCACAGTGTCTCATGCCATGTGCCACAGTTCAGGTCTCCTCACACTAGCTGGTGTGTTGAATTTTTTGACATAGGGTGCTGGCAGAGTACGGGCCTCCTAATAGCTGCTACCACATGCCCCTAAATCTGGCCCTATGGGCCCCCTATTACCGCCTCCTCATGCTGCTTGCCAAGGTCCAGAAGTTCTCTCATGGTGGTCCCTGTACGGCCTCCCAATTGCTGCTGTCTCCATCGCCACACTCTGGCCATGTGCCACTTTCAGGTCTCCTCACACACTGCTGGTGTGTTGAACTTTTTTTTGACATAGGGTGCTGGCCAGATTTTTTTACGGGCCTCCCATTGCAGCTGCCAGGGCCCAGTAATCTGCCATGGGCCCCCGTACCCAACCTCCCTCATTCGCAGTGACGTTGCAACAATAAAGGTGGAATTCCAACCCTACACATGTTAGAACGCCTTTTAACGAACAGCAAAAGGCCATCAACAGATTTCCTGATGATATAAGCGGATAAAGGTACTCCCCTGTGGTAACTTTAGATGTCAGCCCAATTGGCAGCTCATGCCGTGACAACCTGCGCTTGCTCAGGGCCCTTTGAAGGAGGCCACGCTATTCGTGGAGTCGGCAGGACTATGGGATGAACGACGTCATTCCTCTGTTGCACCGTCCTGGAACAAATGCTCTTAATAATGGGCTGGTCAGGGTGCGGTAGAAAAACGTGGCGCACTAGATCTCAAACGCCACATGAACCCCCTGTGTGGGCAGGACAGGAATAAGAGGAGGAGGTAGAGGAGGAACATTGGTGCTCAGGAATTATTGAGTGAAATGGGTGGTTTTTTTTTCCACTCAGTTGACAGGGAGTGGAGGAGCAGTAGCAATCTGGTAGAGAGGGCGGAAGAGGAACAGAGGACCCAGACTGCACCGTGGCAGTAGCTGTGGAGATTGGAGGCAGGAGTCCCTCGACATTTCCTTGGCACAAAATGGCACCATAGCATGCACGCTTGCTTGCGTACCGACAGCCGAGAATAATTAACCATCAGACAGAGGGAATGACTTTTGGCTGTCCACCCTTGTTTGGACCCTCGCGCTACCGTACCAAAAATGGTGGAGCCTTTTACCACACCTGCTGGAGAGGGAGGCCAAAATAACGTACTATAAATACCACCTATGTAGTCAGCTGGTCTCTGCCTGTCTGCGCCAACGTCCATCCTCAGACACTGTGGGCCCTGTGCGCTCGCGCTTACGCTGCATGGCAGCAAGGGGGGGTGGGGTGGTAGGAGCAGATGGCAGCTCCACCAGCAGCGGCTGCCTCAGTCTGCAGTCGATGATGAGTAGCTTTCTTCACCAGCGCAGTGAGGAAACTAATAACCAGCCGCAGCAGCAGCAGCAGCAGCATCAGGTGGACCTGGAGCAGGACCTCAAACAACAGGCTTAGGCCTACTTGGACAGCACCCTGCCAACCCGAGGTAGACAATCCCCTTGAACTACTGGGCAACGAAACTTGACCTTTGGCCCCAACTAGCTGAATTTGCCCTTGAAAGGCTGTCATGCCCGGCCAGTAGCGTGGCATCGGGAGCGCGTGTTTAGTGCGGCAGGAGGTATTGCAACTCCGCGGAGGACACGACTGTCCACCCAAAGTGTGGGAGAGACTCACGTTTGTGAAAATGAATCAGGCGTGGATTAGTCTGGATTTCAAACCACCAGTTCCTGACACAACTGACTAAATCCGCCATGAATCATGCCCCAAACATGTGCCACTTTCAGGTCTCCTCACACTGCTGGTGTGTTCCATTTTTTGTCATAGGGTGCTGGCAGATTACGGGCCTCCCATAGCTGCTGCCAGGCCCCTAATCTGCCATGGGCCCCTATACCGCCTCCTCATGCTGCTGCCAAGTCCAGAGTCTCTCATGGGTCCCTGTACGGCCTCCCATTGTTGCTGTTCTCCATCGCCACACTCTGCCATGTGCCACTTTCAGGTCTCCTCACACTGCTGGTGTGTTTCAATTTTTTGACATAGGGTGCTGGCAGATTACGGGCCTCCCATAGCTGCTGCCAGGCCCCTAATCTGCCATGGGCCCCTATACCGCCTCCTCATGCTGCTGCCAAGTCCAGAGTCTGTCATGGGTCCCTGTACGGCCTCCCATTGCTGCTGTCTCCATCGCCACACTGTGCCATGTGCCACTTTCAGGTCTCCTCACACTGCTGGTGTGTTGAATTTTTTGACATAGGGTGCTGGCAGATTACGGGCCTCCCATAGCTGCTTGCCAGGCCCCTAATCTGCCATGGGCCCCTATACCGCCTCCTCATGCTGCTGCCAAGGTCCAGAGTCTGTCATGGGTCCCTGTACGGCCTCCCATTGCTGCTGTCTCCATCGCCACACTCTGCCATGTGCCACTTTCAGGTCTCCTCACACACTGCTGGTGTGTTCCATTTTTTGTCATAGGGTGCTGACAGATTACGGGCCTCCCATTGCTGCTGCCAGGCCTGTAATCTGCCATGGGCCCCCGTACCGCCTGGTCACGCTGCTGCTGAGGGTCCACAGTGTGACATGGGTCCCTGTACCGCCTCCCATTGCTCCCACTCTGCCATGTGCCACTTTGAGGTCTCCTCACACTCCTGCTGTTTTCCATTTTGTCATAGGTTGCTGGCAGATTACAGGCCTCCCATAGGTGCTGCCAGGCCCCAAATCTGCCATGGGCCCCCGTACCGCCTCGTCACGCTGCTGCTGGGTCCACAGTGTGACATGGGTCCCTGTACCGCCTCCCATTGCTCCCACTCTGCCATGTGCCACTTTGAGGTCTCCTCACACTCCTGCTGGTTTCCATTTTGTCATAGGTTGCTGTATGGCCTCCCATTGCTGCTGCCTCCACCGCCACACTGTGGCTCCACACTCTGGTTTTGGCCCCGTGACTGGCCAAATGAGTGAAGTGTGCGGTGATTCTAAGATCGACGGCACTCATCTGCATGTCATACTGACTGACAGTATTATTTCTCTTCCCCAGCAGACTCCAAGGGCATTTAAATTAAAGGTACAGTGTTCTGCACTAATATTAAGTCTCTCTGAAGCCTAGAAACACCCTTTTTTAAGTTAAATTCACAGCGAATATATTCGACACGAATCGAATATTGTCCACGAATTCGCCGAATCAGTCGAATCGAATTTTTGAATACTTCGCTCATCTCTAGTCACAGCTAATCACATGCACATGTCATGTGATTAGCTGTGACCAAATCACAGCTAAGCCCAAAAAAAAAAAAAAAAAAAAATCTGAATGAATCGATTTCATTCAGCTAAATGCTTGCTTATAGCAAAGTAATTCTTTGCTATAAGCAAATTGTGTAAAAAAAAAAAAATACTGATCACTTCCCCAAAGTAGTACAATGTTACTATGCTAACATTGTACTACTTTGGTTATAGTAAAATATAAAAAAAAATCTTAAAAAAAATAAAAAAAATGTAATAAAAAATTAAATATAATAATAAAAAAAATAAAAAATAAAAATATATATATATTTTTTTCATACTGTCACCAGTCAGTGTCCCTGTTCACCGCCATGCCAGTTATATGATGACGCTGTACTGCACTGGTGACAGTATGTAAAAAAAAAATAGTGAAAATAGTTTTTTTAATTTTCCGAAAAATGATGACAAAAAAATACAACTTCAAAAAACTCGCCATGCCTCTTATGAAGTACGTCGGACTGTCTACTCTGCAAAAAGGGGTCATTTGGGGATATCTGTACTATTCTGACATTCTTGGACCTCAAGAAATTGGATTGGCTGTCAGTACTTCAGGATTGATCAATATTCAGATCTATACCATAGTTTGTGAACTCTATAACTTTCCTACAAACTAAAAAATACATCCTAATTTGGGTTATGTTCACCAAAGACATGTAGCAAATACATACATCTCGGCCTAAATTTATGAAGAACAATTATTTATTTGTAAACTTTTATAACAGAAACAAAAAAAAAACGTGTTTTTTTTCAAAAATTTTGGTCTTTTTTTGTTAATTTAGCAAAAAATAAAAAAACACCAGCGGTGATTAAATACTACCAAAAGAAAGCTCTAGTTGTGTGAAGAAAATGATAAAATTTTAGTTTGGGTACAGTGTTGTATGACCGCGCAATTGTCATTTTAAGTGTGAGAGCGCTGAAACCTGAAAAATGGCCTGGGCAGGAAGGTGTAAAATTGCATGGTATTTAAATGGTTAAATATCTGTAATCAATATCTGTAGGTTATCAACAGTTTTTTTGTTCAACCAGCGGGTTGAATGAAAAAAAAACAAACCCATTTTTCCCACCCACATGTTCGAGTTGGATGGGGGAATTCTCCCCACAGAGCTATTTTATTCTGAAAGCAGGGAGACTTCCTCTCCATCAGGATATACTGATCAGCGCTGCAGTCTATAGCCTGCGGTGCAGGTTGAGTGGAGCAAATCGGATAGGATAGTTGTACAGAAGTCACTGGTAGATCAATTTCTGTATAACCACAGTGCCCATACATGGAACAAAATTCAGACGATTCCTGCTGAACCAACCACATTTTGATCCATTTATGGCCAGCTTAAAGTTTGACTTGGACATACTGTTAGTAAACATTGTGTTTACTGACTGGTAGAAGTGGTCATTTAACTTTAAAATGGTTGCAAACCTCAGATGTGAAATCTGAACATAGTACATATTTCTAGAGTGTTTACTTGCCTCTTTCCAAAGCACTAAGTGTCATTTTCTCTCTGCTGTCTAGCTCCTCTGTTATCTGCATGAATAATTTCTGACAAGTTTTTCTGACAACAATATCTAAAAAGGTGACAGGGGAGGCATCTCCAGCACACAGTTTGTGATTAACAGCCTAATCTCAGTTCCTGTATGTTGTGTGAAGGGATGTGTATCCTTTCCCTCCAATCAGCTCCTAGAGCTCTTTTGCAGTATGTAACTGCAACTCCCTGATTTGTGAGCTTGTGAAAATTCATTTTTGTTTCACAAGTTTGTACAGGACAAATGGCTGCAAATAGACAGGTACAACTTACGTAGGGGGGTTTGTTTCACCTCTGTGTATCGCCGGCGGCCAGTCACTTCACTGCGTATAGTTAATTGTTTACAACTACTTTAATCAAGCATTCAATTATTTTGCCTGTGTTTGAGCACAAGAGGATCCAACAAACATACTTTACCAAAAGGGAGAAAACACTATTTTTATACTGAAAACTTTGTTTAATTAAATATTAGCTGTACATTTTTTGTAGCTGTAAAATAATTTTGGCCCTTGTTGTTGTGTTCATCATTCCTGACAAAAGATGACTAAATCCATGCTGGGATAGGCTGCTGAGAATTCCTCTGTATCAGCTGTGATAATGTAATACCTTCTACAGATGCCAAGTCCAAAATACTGTATGCTTCAATAGGCACTGTGGAGAAAATAGCAGTTTGTTTCCAGCATAGTCGAGTAACACACTGCTAGGTAAACAAAAGTAGAAACAGAAGGTTTGTATTTTGCATCACAGCATTCTTCTCTGATACACCTTATTGGCAAAGAATCAACATGCATAAATGTTTTTGTTGTCTTCTAATACAGGGTGACTGTGAGCTGCCAATAGAATATTGTGAGAAATGGTAAACTTATAGAATGCATGGAGCACATACAACTGTGTGAGTAGAGTGTGTATGATCTCTCAAAAAGTTAATACAAAATATAACCTGGAAGGTTCCACTAATTAATATCTGTACACCTTTACAAGGTAAAGTTGAGACAAAATTCTTTGTCAATCTTTTCAAACTTAGCACTGGAGGCTGGACCTTAAATCAATGGCTGCAGAGTGGAGAGCTAGAGAGATGCATGTGTAGTAGATGCTCAGAGAAGAATGGGGAAAACATAGAATGGTTATTCATAGAGTAATCACATTTTATTCTCTTTTTTTTGGTGCTCATGAGAGATCACTTCTTAAAACATGTTAAAACCTAAATGCAACTTTGTGTTTAAGCAGCATGAAAATATACATTTTAATGCAAACACTCTAAAATTGCAAGGTATAAATTGTACTTGCATGCATACTTGAAGAACTGCAATACATTTGCATTATCCATGTTTCAAATTATCCACATGCCACCTTGCCTAGATTGTACATCAGCATTAGTGGGCGGTAAAATGGGTGTGTCAGATACATGCTGGCCACAGTACAAGTGAAGCTCCGAGGTGCTGATTCTGGCGCCAAAGAGACTATTTAAGTATGGAAGCTGTACTAGTCAGTGCTGTCTGATAAACATAATTTCCCGTGTTCCTGTAACAGTTCCTCATCTGACTTCTGTGATTGACCCAGCTTGTCATGACCATTCTTGAAAACTACCTGCCCTGAACTCAGCTTGTCTCTGGATTCTACTCTGCCTCCTGCTCATCTGCCTGATCTAATGATACTGACCTTGGCCTGTACTTTGACTATTCTCTTGCCTGCTGTCCATGTCTGATCTGATCACCTGTTACTGACTCGGCTTTACTGACCATGCGTCCTGTCTTGTCCCATCTGCTCAGCATTCCCTGACCAGCATGCTACTCACCTGGCCCCTGACAGTCATCTACCAGCTAGTGCCTGCCTGCCTACCTTGCTCCAGCGGCCGGTCGTCTGCCAGTCTGCCATCTGTCAGCTCGGGGTCTGCTGCACCTGTTGCCATCTGCTCTCCTGGTCATCCAACCGGTTTCTGGTGAAGCATCGACCACTTACCTGAACAAATCTGCTGGACATCTTATTATTATTATTATACAGTATTTATAAAGCGCCAATAGTTCGCTCAGCGCTGTATATTACAAAGGGGGACAGAACATATGACAGAACAATACCAATACAATGCAAAACATGAGGGGATTGAGGGCCCTGCTCTTTGGAGCTTACAATCTAGGAGGGAGGGGATAGTGGTACAGGAGGAGATAGCTGTGGGGCACGCTTACCTCACTGCACTCTTGAGGCCACTGTCCCACCACCAGTGGTCCCCAATCCAAAGCTATAAGAGGGCCTTCCTCTTCACGTCAGGCTCTACAACCAGATACATGACAGGGTGGCACCATCAGAGGAAAGTAATTAACTATTTTCTTTAATTCTTTGTCAGGAACTGAGCATGTAATAGGCTAGTGCTATCCCCACCCAATCCTCCTGCTTTTCTGATCTTTTTCAAACATGTATTTCTTGTTTAAAGAAAAAAAAAGCATCTGACCACAGATGAGAAGAAATAGTATAGGAAAGAACTGGGTGTAGCCACAATGTTCTATGCAGTGATAGTCTCTGCCTTGCGTGCAAATATAAGAGCATAATGACATAGTAAGAGGCAGGGGCGAACTGACCATTCGAGCACTCGGGCACTGCCCGAGGGCTCGGGGTCAGCTGGGGGCCCCATGAAATGCCCCTGGTACCTTTTTATAGGCTTTTTTGGGTGTGCTTTGAGTGTGGGCAAGGACACAGGGGCCCCATGATCCCCTATTGCCTGGGGGCCCCATGAGTTATCCGTCCGCCCCGGTAAGAGGATGCTGGGAAAACCCTTTGACCACTGTCCTGTTAAGCAAAAATCGGTAAAGCTAGGAGGTCATAGATGTAGTGCTACCCTCGTGAGCACTGCTGTGTTGTGAATATCCCCTAAGCCCCTCTCAGCACAGCCAGGCAAGAGGTATTTTTCACACCAACTTGCATCAGAGACAATGACCAGTCCATGGGTTTTGTTTTGTTATTTTATTAGGGGAAATCAACATGGATGGGCAATAGGGATTATGGGATGCCCAGTATGGATTGAAACAATGGAAGAGGGACACTTCCCTCCTATGTACAAAGGCAGATCCTAAATTGTTATTTTCCTGAAATCTGTCAGTCTTTGCTGCCCTTTATGAGCAAGGAACTAGCAGCC